TGTTTATAAGGTGACAGGGTGCCAGGTGAAGAATATTCCACTTCTCATTGTCTGCAATTATCTATAGCATGTGTCTTTGTAGAAATGTTGACTTCACTCATTCCTGGGGCTCTTGGATGGTGGCTACCACACAGAGCACCCTCCCCTCTCCAGCAAATGCTTGCCGTTGTGTCCTAGAGAAGTGGTAGAATCCAGAGGTTGGGGATTTTGGTTCAGGTCCCGCTTTGCATGGTATAGTACCACCTCCTCTTACAAGCTACGCAAATTTGGGCAGATTATTTAAACTTGCTGTGCCCCAAATTCTTCAGGTGTGTTGAGAGGATTAAATTCAGTGACTGTGTGATGCACTTAGAATCATGTCTGGTAGAATTAGCTCTCAATAAACATAAGTTACCATCACTTCTTCAGAAGGCAAGGAGAATATCCCTTTGGGAGATGGAGAGAGTCATCAGAGGTAAGGGCCCACATTTTGCTTCTTACCATTTGTCTGTCTCTTGAAGGCATTTCTCAAGCTTTCTCTCCATCCTCCTTCTTCAGTCTTCACATACCCTCTCAGAGAAGTCAAGTCACTTGAACTTATCACCAAGAACTTGGTAGGTGGTGCTCAGTTGGGAATCTCAATCCATGATTCAGTTTCAGCCCCAACAGTTGGAGGGATCCTCACTTACCACCTCTCAAGAGTAAAAATCAAGGACTTGGGAGGGGGCATGTAGCACCGTATCTTCAAAAGATCACACACTTTAACATCTGAAGATCTGAGTTCAAATCTTGACCCTGTCTCACACTAGCTGTGTGAACACATTTCTTAACATCTTGAGTGCTTCATTTGGCTCATTTCAAAAATGAGGATAGTGATTTTTTCTTTTTTTTTTAAGATTTTATTTATTTATTTGACAGAGAGAGATCACAAGTAGGCAGAGAGGCAAGCAGAGAGAGAGGAAGGGAAGCAGGATCCCCGCTGAGCAGAGAGCCAATGTGGGACTCGATCCCAGGACCCTGAGATCATGAACTGAGCCGAAGGCAGCGGTTTAACCCACTGAGCCACCCAGGTGCCCCTGATTTTTTCTTTTTTAACAGAGTTACTGTGAGGTGTGAATAAGGTATCATTTGAGAAGCTCTTAGCACAGTCTTGGCCCATAGAAACCATCCAGTAAGCAAATGGTTCCAGTGTCTCCCTGAAGACAAGGAGCATTACTAATTTCTTAGGACTTTTAAATGTAACTAAAGAGGATGGCAACTGGTTCATTTTGTTAATGGTTGTGTGTGCACACACACACATGCGCCAATAAATACCATCAGATAGCTATCATTAATGGAGGCTTACCTCATTCCTAGCTCTTTATAAGTATTACCCCCATCTTCCATATAAACATTCTGGGGCACATCAAGAGTACACAGTCCAACTGAGGTCACACAGCTCATAAGAGGAGGCGTGGTATTATAACCTACACAATAGAGTACAGAGCACAAACACTCAACTGCTACCTTCTACTGCTCCTCACATGGCAAGTGTTTGTTGGATCAGGGAAACTGAAGCATGAGAGGTAATGCATGACTAGGGTGGGCTGGCCACTGCAGCATGAGCAGATCTTGGAGTGGGCCTGTGGAGGCATGGCAGAGGTGTTGCTTCTCCCCTGTGGTAGGTTTTCTTGGGCTGGACTCAATCGGGAATCTTGGCATCTATTTAAATAATGCACTGGGAGTATTTTAAAACTGTGTTTCATTACTATAACTCAATCGTAAGACTTCTGCAAGGAGGAAGACTGGCATATATTTCTTTGGTGTTCTTCAGTCCAGCTCCAGGATGAGAACCCAGCCAAAAGATTACCCCAAAATACCAATTGATGGGCAGATATAGTAACAAGAAGCCATTTTTTTAAAATTACAGTATAGTTCATATATTATAAAATTCACCCTTCTAAAGTATACAATTCAGTGGTTTTTAGTATAGTCAAAAACTTGTGCAACCATTATCACTCTGTAATTCCAGAACATTTTATCACCCCCAAAGGAAACCCTATACCCATTAGCAGTTAGTCTTCATTCCTTGGAACTTCAACTCCTAATAACTGCTCATCTATTTTCTGTCTCTACAGATTTACCTATTCGGAAATTTCATATAAATAGAATTATACAATATGTAGCCTTGTGTCTGAAGAAGCCACTATTTTCTAAATGCAATAAGATAATCAGTATATAGGTGTTAGCTTCCACATTGACCCTTGCATTAGTTTGCTGGGACTGCCATAACAAAGTACCACAGATGAATGGCTTAAACTTATTATCTCATAGTCTGAAAGAGGCTAAAAGTCCAAGATCAAGTTTTCAGCAGGGCTGGTTTCTTCTGAGGCTTCTCTCTTTGGCTTGCAGGTGGCTACCTTCTCCCTATGTCTTCACGCAGTCTTCCGTCTGTACCAGCCTATGTCCTAATCTCTTTTTATAAGAACACCAGGTATATTGGATTAGTCCCACCCTAGTGACTTCATTTTAATTTAATTACCTCTTGAAATAGACTATCTCCAAATAAAGTTACATTCTGAGGTACTGGGGCTTAGGGCTTCAACAGAATGAATTTGGGAGGGGGTACACAACTCAACCCATAGCAGCCCCTCAGTGTTCCTTTCCAACAGGAATTTGTGCCCTTGTATAGCACCCTCTCACACTTACAGTAGTGACATCCTAGGATAGATGGCTCTCTTTGAGGTAAGCCAGCCACCATACTGTGAAGACACCTGAGTAGTCCTTGGGAAGGGGCCATTGGGTATTAACTGAAGCTTCCAGCTAACAGCCAGTACCAACTTAACAGCCATGCAAGTGAGTGAGAGTGGATCCTCTAGCCCTGTGTAACTTCCTGAATGACTGCAGCTCTAGCCAACATCTGACTAGAGAGAACCGACCAGCCAAGCTGCTCTTGAATTCTGGTCCACAGAAACTATGAGGTAATAACTGATCCTTGTTATTTGTTATGCAGCATCAGGTAACTGATACAGCTGAGGTGGATAGCAGTGGTTGAAGAAGTCAATGACAATTATATACCCATTATCTTCTAGTGACAGAATTATCTTTAGGAATCCTCTTCAAGCCTCACAAGAGCTCTGCAAAGTGTGTGTTATCATCACTGTTTCATCGAGGCTCCGGGGTTAAAGAGATTGCTGAGGTCTTAAATCTGTATGCTTTCCACTGTATCACTGGACGGACCCCTACTGTAGAATACCCTCATCCACCAACTGGTGTTTACACAGTTAACCACTTGTTATTGCTTAGCAGCAATGAAAGTGAGCTAAAATTCTACTTTGGAAAAGTCACTCTTTTGCACTCAATGTTCTTTTTTTTTCCCCCTCATGTATTTCTTTACTTTCTCCTCTCATGTCTGTGTGTGTGTGTGTGTGTGTGTGTGTGTGTGTGTGCTTTTTAGTGTTTTCAAGAAAAATGACTTATTATTCCCCATGGATCTGTGACTTGGCTGGGCTTAGCTGGGCGATCTGGGTTGCATATTAGGCTGCATTCAACTAGGAGCTCAGCTAGGCTGAAATGTCCAAGACGGTTTCACTCTTATATCTAGGCTTTGGTATAGCTGTTGGCTGAAACTCTATTTCTATATGGTCCTGCATCATTCAGTGGTGTAGTTTCTTTCTGCAATAGCTGGCTTCCAAAAGAGTTCTCCTATATTTTATTATTTTTAAAGCAATATGTCATGCAAAATTCAACTGAAAAGATATAGAGTGAAAATATCCCTGCCCCCAGGCCCTTCTGTTTCTTTTCTCAGAGGTAACCAGATACTGCTACCACTTTTTAAATCAGATTTCCTGAGTTATTCTGAACACACGTGTCTACATGTATATTTATATAGTTTTATCTATGTAGCTATTATATCATTTAAAATATAAATGGTATTATTCATTACACACTTGAGCATCTTGCATTTTTGCTTAACATACTTGGAAATCTTTCTATATTAGTATATGGAGAGCTATAGATCCATACCATTCTTTTTAAATAGCTATAAGATGTTTTGTTTTACAGGTATTACATGAAACAATTTAATCACTCTTCACTCAATGGACCTGTTTTATTTTATATACTATGACATTGACTTTGGTGACATTTAATGCAGTAACTATTTACTTTTTAAAAACTGGCTTTATAATGTCACAGAGATAGGCATCTTTCTGGTACACCACTGTCACCCCACTGTGGCACTATGAGTAGGTCATTCATCAGATGTGTACACGTGCCATGCTTATGGAAACGTGATCCCATAAGTGCTGCCAGCTGATACCTCTAGTGTTTTTGAAACTTGCATCATTAAGTCATAATTACAGATGTGCTCTACTATTTTAGGGCTCCGTTCCCCAATTTCCATTAGATTTTTTTAATAGTCCAAACCACTTCTACTCCATTTTCTTAGAGAAATTATCCCTCTTTGGCTTTCGTGACCTATACCTGAGCCCCACCTTCAATCATTAGCTGTTTCTGTTGCTGCCTGAAACTACATAGAGTCAGATCTATTACTTTGTAATAACAGCCTTAGGAGACAAGCATGGCAGAGTTAGTACTGCATTGTTAGTATCGAAGTACATGCTGCTCAACATTGTATCATCAGTGTTTCAAGTGTATATTCCCACATTGAGTAAAACGAAAGGACATAATCTAGAGCCAAGAGAAAGGAGTTCTAACTCTAGTTCAGCTACTAATTAGTTTAATCATTTGTTAAATGACGCGCTTTAGTGTGAGTCCCAAAGGCACATCTCAAAGCAAGGGTTTCTTTCACACAATTGTTTTGTTTAGTGAGTGATCCCAGGAAGCAATTGAGAAAGAGGGTGTGCAAGACTGGGAAGGGAAGGAAGCAGATAACAAGGTTCCTTAATGAGCAGGTTACCACCATGTGCAGCTATTACTCAATTCAACTGGGACACCACAGCAACTACGTAAAATAGAACAGAATCATCCGGACTGAGGGATGAGGAAGTAGGGTTTTAATTATTTGTCTACTCCCATCACTCACTGATGGGAATTTGCTCCTGGTGTTTCCAATCTTTTGTGCACTCTCTGTGGCAGCCCCGGGACCAAAGAACACCTTCAGGTAGAGAGATACAGGATGCCTTTGGCTGTAGAGAAACTGTGAAGATCATTTCCAGGGGCCCAGGGGAAAATGGATTTGGACAGAATCTGCTCAGTTTGGAAATAGGCACATACATTAGCTAACAACCTAGCTTCTCGATGGAGTATGTCATGGTAGGGCAGCAAGTAAGGACTTTTTGAGCACTGACTCTGGGTCTAAAGGCTGCTTAGCACTCGGAGGTACACAAGAAATTTCAATACACCGCTAGGCACCTGGGTGGCTCAGTTGGTTAAGTGACCAACTCTTGGTTTACACTCAGATCATGATCTCACAGTCATGAGATTGAGCCCCATGGGTGGCTCCACACAGTCTGCTCCAGAGCTTTTCTCCCTCTGCCCCTCCCCACGCTTGCACACACACATACTCTCTCTCTCTCTCTCTCTCTCAAATAATCTTTGGGGGAAAAAAAGAAATTTCCATACGGGGCTTAGAATATCAGGCATATACTGAATGTTTACCCTGGGTGGGCCTTTAACATACGTGATCCCATCAATTCTAATGTAGTGCGGCAAGTTAAGAATTATTATCCTGAGGCTCAGAAAAGTTGATTTTCTTGTTCAAGATCCCACAGAGAAATAGAGGTCAACCCATGGTCATCTATGTGATCAATGTCCTCTAGCTGGCTACAGGGAGCAGGGACACCAGGCTATGGCTGACCTCTGGTTTCTGCTGGTTTGCTGAGAACTAATAAATGATGTTATTAAGGTTGTAGGATAAAAGATCAATTTTTAAAATAATTTTTTTAAATGTAAGATTATTTGTTATTTGAGAGAGAGGGAGTGAGCAAGAGAGAGAGAGAGTGCAAGCATGGGCAGGGGAGGAGCAGAGGGAGAAGAAGAAGCAGACTTCTTGATGAGCAGGGAGCCTGATGTGGGGCTCGATCCCAGAACCTTGGGATCATGACCTGAGCCGAAGACAGATGCTTAACCCAATGAACCACCCCTAGGCTCCCCAAAAGACAAGTATTTTTAAAAAATCTGTGTATTTCTATATACCAGCAACAAGCAATGGGAAATTGAAATTTTTAAAAATGCTATTTATAATAACATAAGAATGAAATGTTTAGGGATAAATATGACAAAAGATGCAGAAGTTTTATACAGTGGAAACTGAGTATTGCTGAGAGAAATTAAAGAAGATCTAAGTAAATGGAGAGAAACTTGGGTCAGGAGACTCAATATTGTTAAGATGTCCGTTCTCCCCAAACTGATCTATAGATTCAGTGGCATTCCAATCAAAATTGTAGCAGGCTTTTTTTTGTAGAAATTGACAAGGTTTGGGCACCTGGGTGGCTCAGTGGGTTGGGCCTCTGCCTTCGGCTCAGGTCATGGTCTCAGAGTCCTGGAATCGAGCCCCGCGTCGGGCTTTCTGCTCAGCGGAGAGGCTGCTTCCTCCTCTCTGCCTGCCTCTCTACCTACTTGTGATCTCTCTCTCTGTCAAATAAATAAGCAAAATCTTAAAAAAAAAAAAAAAAAAAGAAAGAAAGAAAAGAAATTGACAAGTCATTTCTAAAATCCATATGCAGAGAATCTAGAATACCCAAAACAACTGTAAAAAAGAAGAAAGCTGAAGAAGGAAGACTGATTTCTAGACTCATTATAGGGCTGCTGTCATCTACTACCTTGCTTAAAAAGAAACTGTTCAGCTGTCCCTTCCCCCAACATGATTTGGGTAGAAGAACTTGGTGGATGTACTCAGAAGCTGGAAGGTGGACGGGGTTGAGCTCAAGGAGGTCTCATCCTGAGTCTAAGTCCTGGGCCAGTTGGTTGCCTTGTGATAGTAAGAACTTCAGTGCATTCAAGAAAATGAGTTTTTTACTTGCTGGTTATGTATTTGTTGATTTTCTGGGTTTTGTTGTAAGTTGGGAACAACACTCTTTCCAGCTCTCTATATTATCAAGCAGAAACTCTAAATCAATGGAATGAATTTTAAATAAAAAGAAGGGATGAAATGATTCAGTGGTCTAGGAGCGGCAGTATGAAAAGAGGGCCTCAGGCCAGCTGAATGTTGGAAGATTGTCAGAAAGCCCTAGAGCACAGTCAAGGTTCTCTATCACTTCCCCATTTTCAATACCATGTGGGATTTCTTCTCCAACATTCCCTAAATTACTTACCTTTTCAAGCTTCCTTGAATATTTCAAAGCTGGTTCTCTCTATAACAATAAATTTCTAATGAACACGTTGGAAATTGTGACTTCATTATCTCTGAGCAATAAAAGGATAGAAAGGGAAAGAATTATCTGCTATCATAGTAGAAGAGGAAGACAAAGAGTTCCCATGACTTCCCAAATCTCAGAAAACGCACCTGGCATTCCAAGAGTAGGAGAATAATTTGACCTCATGTTATGTCCATTGAGATATTCAGCTACATCTCTGGAATATTTTGGCCACATTACTGACAAAAATGATTACCTCTTGTGCTGTAGAAAGCCTGTAGACAAGGTCAATGTCATTGTGTTTTACAGAAGCATTAAATAAGAATTCTCTCATCATAAAACCACAGAAATATTTAAGGTTTACTTAAGCAACTTTATAGAAAAAGCAGAATAAAGTTTCTTTCATGTTAACTTATCAACTAATTAATTAATTTCATAACCTCTTTAAGTCCTACAATTTTTATAACTCACCCATATTATCATTTTTTATTAGGTGCTTCATATTTTCCTTGCCTCAGTATTAATAAATTTAATGATAGCAAAATATTCTAGCTCATGACTGAGTCTTGGGAATTTGAGAACAAGAAATTTTGAAAAGATCTAAAAAATAACTCTAGAAGAAGATATTCACCATAGAAATTATGAACCTGAGACCCCCAGAGAAGCAGAAATAGTAGGCTCTGTCAATTCCTGTTCTGACACCTAATGTCACATGATAAACGATTATTACCTTTCATGGTTCTGTGAGTTGACTGGGCTCAGCTGGGTGGTTCTTCCTTGGAGTCTGTATCAGTCAGGGCTCTCCAAAGAAACAGAACCATTTATATAAAATATAAATACTTATATATTACATATTTATATATGTAATTGGTTTTATAATTTATATAATTTATAAATAGTATATATCACTATAATACATTATGCAAATTAATATAAATATAAATAATTCTAGTTATAATAATTATATAAATTGTATTACATAATGTGTTATATAATTACATTATAGAAGAAAAATATATAAATATAATTAAATTATATAAATATAATAATTATAATATATAATCATAATAATATAGTCATTATATAAATAAATATAAACATAAATATAAATTAATATTATGTGATTTATCATATTATATAATCATATATGTATACCTTTTAAAATCTGCTTTTTAAGGAATTGGCTGGAAACTTAGGAATTGAGGCAGCAGTCTTAAGGCAGAATTTCTTCTCTTCAGTTTTCTCTTAAGGCCCTCATGATTGGATAAGGCCCACCCACATATTTGAGGATAATCTCCTTATATAAAGTTGACTGATTTTAAATGTTGACTAAATCTACAAAATACCTCATAGCAACAACTGTATTAGTGTTAGATTACATAACTGAGTACTATAGCATAGCCAAGTTGACACATAAAATCCAGACATCATATGGCCTCTTGTATGGTTACAGTTATATGTCTTCTGAAGGCTGGATGCCCAAGAAGGGCCACTCCCATGGTGGTTGGTGCTGACCATCAGCTGGAAGCTTGGCTCAGGCTCTTGACCATGTCAACCTGATCCCTCTCTGTTGCCTTGGAATTCTCTCAGCATAGTGTCTGCGTTCTGAGAAGGAATGGTCTAGGAGGCAGCATTCCAAGAAACAGGAAATGGAAGCTGCTAGGTGAGTTAAGGCCTCGCCTGGAGCTAGTACACTGTTACTTCCACTATGTTTTAGTTGTCAAGGCATTCATGGGCTCACTCAGATTCAAGAGGGTGGAAATATAGATTCCATCTTTTTATGGGAGAGTGGTAAGGCCACACTATAGAGCATATGCGCTGGTAGGTTTAGTTGTGGGTATTTTTGGAAAATATAATGGCACTCACCATTTCCATGTACACTGGCCAGCCAGCCAACTACCAGCACCTACAACTCTTTGCCTCATGGCTTTCTCCAGTGGCCAGGGTCTGCTGTGCTTCTTGTGAGACAGGTCTTCAGCTATGGGAAATTCATACCTATCCACTGCAGTTCTCAACCAATAATTGACAAGAGCTGGATACTACAATTCCTTTGCTTCCATAACTCCCTTAGTAGGATTAAGTTCCAGTTGCAGACGATGGTAACTTGCTTGATAATTCACTCTTCATTGTTGACTTTCTTTTGTTGTTTCTCTTCCCTGCTTTCACTACTGTGTTGCTTTCTGAGATCACCTACTGAAAAATTTACTTGCCCTCAAATCTTTGTCTCAAGGTCAGCTTCTGGGAGAATCCAACTGAAGTTACATAGAGTAATGTGTCCAAGGTCAGAGCCTAAACTAGGGGCTAAGCTGACTCCCAGTCAAGAGTACTTCCCATATTTGTTATATTCTGAGAGAATTTCAGAATAATCAATTAGACTTTATTGAGTGATGGGGGAGGGCTCATAGAAGAAAAATTTGAAGTGTCTATTAACTACATTAAACAGATGTTGCTTGGAAAGAGCACTGGAGTAGGAGTCAAGGAATATGAGCTCTCACTGTTCTGTGCCGTGAGTATGTTGTGTAACTCCCAAGCATGAACAGGAAAGACTAAATTCCCATTCCACAGTCACACCTCCAGCACTCCTGTAAGAGTCAAACGGATGACGACTGCAACAGCAGTATCAGAAAGAAAAACAAGCAAATGAATGGAACAATTTAATTTTTCTCAATTTTGATGACTCATTCAATAACATATTATGTTTTAAATTTTCTTGTAAGCTTCTCATGTAGTCCTGATCCACATTTGAGAAGTAGACAATTACCCAACACATCATTCTACACTGTCTGGATAATCAGGCTATGTTGAAAGTTTTTGGTTTTAAAAAACAAAATCTTCAGCTTTGATCTTTAGCAGACAGTTGTCAATGGCTCACTTTAACAAGAAAGGACTCCAGGGATAGACAGTGATCTCTCTGTCTGAACAACAAATGTTCCTATCATTGCAGAACATACATAGGCATGAACTGCCTGGATAAAGATAGTCATGATATTTTTTTTCCATTGGTTTATTTAAAAAAGAAAAGCCCATATATTATAGCTTCCCCCCCACCACTAGCTTCTTTAGGATTTATGAAATTCACCTAGCTCTCTCTCTCTTACTCTGTGTGTGTGTGTGTTGAGTTTTTGATACCTATCTCTTTGTATGTTAGTGAGTAGGGTAGAAAAATACAGAGAACAGATTAATAAGAGAGAGAATATCTCAAAAATATCTCAAGTAATAATACTGATAATGTTCTGTAATAAAACAACCACAGGGTCAGGGTGTATGTCCTTATTTGCTTACTAAATTGATCACACTTTTCTGGTTGAAAGGTAAAATGCGATTTAGGTGCTAAGAATTTAAACTTACAGGGGTGCCTAGGTCGTTCAGTGGGTTAAGCCTCTGCCTTCAGCTCAGGTCATGATCTCAGGGTCCTGGGATTGAGCCCCCGCATCGGGCTCTCTGCTGGGCAGGGAGCCTGCTTCCTCCTCTCTCTCTCTCTTTCTGCTTCTCTGCCTACTTGTGATCTCTCTCTGTCAAATAAATAAATAAAATTAAAAAAAAATTAGAACTTACTTTGGTTTGACATCTATTTTTTATGGTTTTTTTTTTAAGGGAAATAATTTGATTTGGTCTATAGTTTGTTTAGAAAACTTTACTTTCCAACTTAATTGAATCCACAGCTGCTGGAACTGGTCTTTCTACCAGTTAGCTAGTGCTACACACTAGCCTTTGCTTCTGCTAAGGTGGGAAAAGACTTAATTTGGGAATTATATTTCTCTCAAAGATCAATCTCAAACTGGATATTTTTAAAAAGATATGTTAGTTGACAGATTCATATCCACATTACCACCTCCAGAGCAGGGGATGTTCTTTCTTTTGTTTATTGTTCTGCTGGTGTGTTACATCCTGAATGCTGAAAACTTATTAGCCTCCTCTGTGTCACTAAGACAATTTTTTATGAGTACTTGCTTCTTCATTCTATGGAATCAAATACTAGGAACTTTAATTTAATCGGTGTATTCATTTTTAAAAGATCCACCCAATAAACATAGGGAAAGGGGGAGGAAAGTAAAATCAGTTTCTAAGACGTTAGAGTGAAAAATAATCTTATTTTTAAAGAGAAAGCCTCAAATTAAGAAATGAATTTAAAAAAAACCTTCATTTTTCCTTTCTTGACATCTACAGTATGCAAAAGGCAAGAAAGCCTCTTTGAGTTGGGGGAAAGTTGTCCTTTGAAATGACTTCAGTGATATGATTTCATCTGTATTTCAAACGCATTAATTTCACACCGTCCACAGTAGGTAATGAAGATGCAGATTCGGGTCAGATTCACGGTCCGGAAAAACTGCAAATTAAGATGCTGTTGATTGATCCGCTGCCGGCTGTCTTAATCATCGTGATCAAAATCTAAATATTAAGAAAAAGGGCCCGGAGGGATGCCTTTGGGCTTTTGACAAACCCTCGACCAAACTCGGAAGCCCAGCCTGCGCTTTTCCTAATCTTTTTCCAGGCAAAAGTCCCCATCAGCCCGCGTGGGGCTCGCAGTGTTTCTCGAGAGCTCTTCGACATCCCCCACCCCCCAAACCCACACCCACCAAGACCCCGGGAACGGATCTGGGCTGTCAAAACACGCGGCGGCGTGCTGAGTCCCAGTAACTCGCATGACGATTAATGAGAGGCTTGATAATTTAATATCGCGTGTGATTAAATTATAAGGCGTGGGGGAGGGGAGCTCTGAGCTCCGTCGCCCGCCAGGGCCGACGCCGCGGAGCCGGCGGGTCTCGGCTGAGTGCGAACCGCGCTCTTCCTTCGCTCAGTGCCTGGCAGGCTGGGCAAGCGGCGGGTCCGCGCCTTCCCAAGGTCAGTGGGCCTCGGGAGGGGAGGGCGGCGGGCTTGGGGTTTGGGGGGAAAGGTGGCTCGCAGAGCCGAAGCGGGAGGTACCGACACGGGGCAACTCGGGTATGAGCGGAAGAGCTGGGCGGGCGGCTGGCTTTTCTCCCGGCAGAGGCGCGGAGGGGCCGGGCGATGGCCCCAGGCGATGGCCCCAGGCAAGGGAAGATCTCTTTCTTAAATCCCCTGTCCCTCTGGCACAGTGGTTAATGGAGTCCTTGGGACCCCGAGACCCCTGGAAACAGGGAGCTCCGGGCCTGGCCCAGTGGGATCTGTGCCGGGCCCCCGCCCCCCGCGCGTGGACTTGGAGAGGGTTTCCCTGCAGGTGAGAAGGTGGTGGCCGCGTTGAGCCCCCAAAGCCCCTCTCCTCCGCAGCCTCAAACCCCGGCCCTGTCCCCTGCCGGGCGGGGTCCACGCCAGCCTAGGTTTAGGCACGTCCGGAGGAGAGAGGGAGTATAAAGCCATGCAAGAGCCTGAAGTCTCGGGAAGCGGACGGACGCTAACAGCCTCCGGGGTCCCCAGCTTGATTTATTAGGGAGGAGGCGCGGGATTCCTAACTAAGCCCCTTTGAGGTTACTGGAGGGACTCCTTGCTGTCACTCCCTTCTCCTTAAAGGACCGCAGGCACGTTCGGGCGTGGTTACCCCTTTCTCTGGAAGTGTGAGCCGAGGTTTGGAGGCGAACGCCCCGCGTGGGCCCGTGGGGGTAAAGGGGCCGGCTGCCCGCACAGTCCTCGCAGCCATGGCGTAGTTCCTCGGCGGGAGAGGTAGGTGGCTGCTCCTGCTGCAATGCAGAGCGTCGAGTCTGCGCGGAGGACGACAGTGCCGGAGGGAGAAGCCCCTCAGTGGGCCGGAGGGAGAAGCCCCTCAGTGGGCCGGAGGGAGAACCCCCTCAGTGGGCCAGA